AACTCACATACACTCCTGTAGTATACAGTTTGAATTCAATTTGTAATTCTCTTTAGGTCACATGACAGACTTTCTATTATTGTGTTTCATGTCTCCTGCCAGGTTATTTTCTCCTTCAATACTTTTCAAAGGATTTGGTTGGTAATAGAAATAAATATACTGCCACAGATATTGAGCCTTAAAATCAAGCAGATCTTTGAGAATACCTCAATTAGATACTTTTCCCCCAGGGAATTCCAGAGGATCATTGCACATGCAGACATTATACATTGAAAATGTTAATAGGTAACCTATTTAATCATGTATATAAAGGAGTAAACAGTCTATCCTATTTTTCTTGCATATATTCTTCAAATATCAATAATTTATTCTTAATTACTTTCTAAAATCCAACATCTAGTCAAAAAGACATAAAATAATATATTTTTGGAACTCCTAGTAGTTTTATCCTATTAGTGGGATCAATCACCATGATAAAATCACAGCTTCTAAAGTCATTTCCTGACTTGAGCCAGTTAAAAAACCCAAAGCCCCTTGTAATGAAGAAGAAACTGGCTTTCTTGAGGAAGAATCCTGGTAGACTGTAAAACTTCCCCCCACTTCTCTCCAAAGGGACAAACAGCCATTTTTTAGAATACTTATGTATTTCAAAAGAAGGCATACCCGACATTTTGGCAATTATTTTCTTTTAACTGATACTTCTTTCTGCATCAGTCCTATTTTGACTATTAGTATCTTATTAGAGAAAATATTTTTGTATATTTATTTACTTGTTTGTTTGAGTGTTATTGACTCTATCCAACTCAAATATAACTTTCAAAGGATAACAGACGTGTTCTTGTGTGTTGCTATATTTCCAGTCTTAGAACATTCTCTTGACGGGCAGTATGCAACATACTTGTTAACTAACCAAATAAAATAATTAAATTCTTTCCATATGTCACAGAAGAGTTTGGTTGCTCATTAATATTGAGACATAAAAAAGTCTAATTCAACTGGAAAAAAAACACAAGTATTTGAATTTTTTGTGAAACTATTTTAAATAGCAATTAATTTAGAATACACATACACATTTATAACACAAATGTGAAATTATATTAAAAAGTAAATAGTCCTAGCCCAGCCGATGTGGCTCAGTGGTTGGGTGTCAACCCATGTACCTAGAGGTTGCTGGTTTGATTCCCAGTCAGGGCACATGCCCAGGTTGTGGGCCCAACCCCAGTCGGGGGCGTGCAGGAGGTGACCAATTGATGTTCTCTCTCATTGATGTTTCTATCTCTCTCTCCCTCTTCCCTTCCTTTCTCTCTAAAAAAATCAATAAAGAAAAATAAAAGCAAATAGTGTTTCTTTTATTTATTGAATAAATACCAGATGAGCACCTACCATATATATAGACTTCTCTGGGCATTAAAGATTAAGCAATGGGTCCCTGTTTTCATGGAATTTACATTCAAGTTACTGAAGAGAATTCATAAATAAACAAACAAGTAAATATGTATCTAGCTGTGATATATGTCAGAAAAAGTCTCTATGAAAAGACGACATTAGGCAGATTCTTGAAGAAAATGAGAGATGTAACAATATGGCCATCTCAAAAAAGAGTATCACAGGTAAACCAAAGCAAAGGTTCAAAGACTGAGTCAGGATCTTGCTTGTCAAATTTGGGGTTGAGCAAGGGGGTCATTAAAGCTGAAGAGAATTAAGCATAAAAGAAGTTGTTGTTGTGGAGAACCAAGAGGCAGCCAATTTCTATATATTTTAAGGTGCTCTACATATGTACAGACTATGGGTCCTATTGCAAGGGATATAGAAAGCTATTGGAACATCTGTTCTGAGGGGGGATAAAAAACAGATCCAGTGTTAAAAGGATTATAATAGCTGCACTTCGGAGAGTAGCTTGTGTTGGTAAAAATGAGTCACATAATGAGTGGAAATGTTTAGGAGGCAGTTACCCAGATCAGATATCTCATAATTTGAAAATCAACATAGTTCAGTAAGTGATAAAAATGATATGACTCTAGATATATTTTTTAAAAATCTTTTTCTTTATTGATTTTAGAGAGAGAGGGAGAGAGACATGGAAACACTGATAAGAGAGAACATCCATTGTCCGCCTCCTGCATGCCCCACACTGGGGATCGGGCCCACAACCTGGGCATGTGCCCTGACTGGGAATTGAACTGGTGACCTCTTGGTGCATGGGTTGATGCTCAACCACTGAGCCACACTGGCTGGGCATGCATGGCTTTATATATATTTAGGTATAACACAAAAAAGGATTTATAATAAATAGGATAAGGGAAGAGAGAATTCAAGGATGAGAACAAGTTTTATGTTCTGAGAAAAAAGGAAAAAATAATTTACTAATAAAGTAGAAAAGTGGAATTACCATTTATTTACTTGAGGAATACTGAGAAATACCACATTTTATACATCTCTATGACAATGTAACATGCTAGCAAAGTATATGTGTACATTGGATATTTCATTATTTAGATTTTAGGATTTTTTGTTTGTTTTTTTAATCTTCACTGAAGGATATTTTCCCATTTATTGTCATATAGAGTGGGAGAGAGAGAGAGAGAGAGATGGATGGATGTGAGAGAGACACATTGATTGGTGTCTCCCGCACAACCCCAACTAGGGCCGGGGACTGAACCACAACCATGGTACGTGCCCTTGACCAGAATTGAACCTGCGATTCTTTGGTCATCGGACCAATGTTCTAAACGCTGAGCCAAACCAGTTAGGGCTAGATTTTAGTTTTTAATTACCATGGGAAGAAAGAAAGAGGAAAGAGATGAGAGAGGAAAACAAAGAATAGATAAAATATAAATGATTGGTTAAAAAATAAAGAATAAAATTAAACTACTTTAGAGGAAAGAAAAGAGGGAAAAAAAGGACTTTCAATGCATGTTAAGGTGAATATTAATTTTAAATAGTGTTTTCTATCACATATTATCATTGTCTTATAATGTTTTCATTATTCTTTGAAATTCCAAAAGGTATTTTTTTAAAAAATCACAGAATTCTAGACCTGAAGGAAACATATTTTACTGTGGAGTTTACTGAGGTAAATCAATTTGAAAGAAACCATCCAAGATTATTGCTTAATTAGAGACAGAGAAAGCATATTTTTGCTCAGAAGCCAAACAATATATATCAAGGGCTTCAGACATGTATTGTGGTATGTATTTTGCACAGGGCCATCTGCCTGTTAAGTGATGTGCAAAACTCCTGGCTTATTTCTTCTGGCTTATATTCTAAACATAGCAACACATCCATTAACTGTGATGGAGAAGTCATTTTTCCAATAGAGGAGCTTCCAATATCAGTAGCCAATGTGATTAAAAAAAAAAAAAAAAAGAAATCATTGTAACCTTGGCCCAGTGGCTCAGTTGGCTGGAGCACAATCCTATATCCAAAGGATTTTAGGTCTTGTCAGGACATACCTAAGTTGCAGGTTTGATCCCACAATCAGGGTGTGCAGGGTGTGTAAGGGAGGCAATTGATCAATATTTCTCTCTCGCTGGAAAAAAAAATCAATAGAAACGTATCCTCGAATAAAGATGAAAAAAAAAAAAAGAGAGCATTATATATTATGGAATTGGCTTAAAGCCTGAATGTGGCTGGTGGCCTGAAACTATCTTGCCAATCTCTGTCTTCATCAGACTTGATTCTCTATTCAAATATTAACTGGCCTTGGCCCATTTATGATACACATAAAAGTGTTTTGAATATAAAAGTGAATAATATGCCAATGTGTAATAATAAAAGTTAATTGACATAAAAATATAAATAATCAAATTAGCAGATACTTAGACGAGGTTCATTCATATAATAGTCATCTTAAAATTAATGCCTTTATCATCTTATATTTCATCAACTATTTGGTACTCCCACAAATATTGTAGTTTTAATGAGAAAAAAATAACTCTTTAGTTAAATGTATAAATAAGAATATAATTAGGTATATTAATTAAAAAAGAAAAACAAACAGATTATTCCATTGTATTGCTTCAATAGTCCTATTATTTTAATTATTATATGCCTTCTTAAGCATGTATATTTTTGGTGTCAATAATACAATATATAATATAATCTTTCTTTCTTTTTTATTGCTCATAGTCATTTTATTGAGATTTTATTGTCACAAAGGAAGTCCATGCATACACAGGAACACAACATCACTTCAGATCTCAGGAAGCAGCGACCATCCGATGGGTCTTTGTGGGAATAAAAAATAGGAGAAATCCAATAAAGAGACCAACTTATGATAGACAAGAGAAGGGCTAAGAAATGCATCTTTCTGGAACTAAATGGGGATAAAAGAAATCATTTTATCTTTTCAGGAATCATAATATCTCTGGGAAAAGAGAGGTGGGAAGGAACAATTCTTCAGAGAATTACTAGGGTCCAGAATGAATGAGTAGCATTAGAGAGCCATAGTCAGAAGTGAGGAAACAGCTGTGTTTAGGTTTGCGCAAGTGGACACGGGATGATAATAACATCACGAGGTTGCCATTAATTGAATCAAAGCTACCACATTCCAGAAACCATGCCAGGCTCTTTATAGGATGATTCCTAGTCACTGCAGCAACCCTGAAAGGTAAGCATTATTATTCCAGTGTCGCAGAGGAGGACACTGAGGCTACAGGTTAAGTAGCTTGTCCTGGTTGCGCAGCTAACAAGTAGCAGGGTCAGGAGAGGGACCCAAGCCTGAAGGCTCTTGAGTTAGGATGTTTTCTACATCCCTGCTTCTCCATGCTACAAATTTTACAGAGGGGTTGCGTGAAGGTGACTTGAGAGTGTTCAAGGTCCCAGGAAAGGTTAAAGAACAACAGGATTCAGGTCTGAGCGGAATACCTGTATTTCACAGGTGAATTACTGTGTACTGCCTCCTAGAATTTCTAGGGAATGGAAAGGAGAGTAGAATTAGGGTGGGAGGTGATTCTGATTTGGGGATTTTTTTTAGAAGGAGTCAGACCCTAGGGTGTGTCCTAGGCAGCAATCCGGTAATTGGGGTGGACCTGGGGCCTGACATCGCAGACCATACCAAGTAGCTGGGCCAGGACGCGTCCTCGGTTTTTCTGCTGGGAACTCTGCATGCCCTGCACTTGGTGCTTTGTAGCCTGCTCCACTTCTGCGGACAGGTTCCCCTGGGAGCCCATGGCCGCCTGCTGTTTGCTCTGGAATTCCAGTTCTCGCTCTCGGCGGTATTGTTCCACTTCCATCTGTGCCTCCTCCTTTGCCTGCTTCAGACGCCGGGCCTTTCTCTTTCTGGCATCTGCCACCTTCTCAGCCGCTCGTTTTTCGCTTGCAGGAGCTGCTGGATACCCTGGGATTGACTGGCCATTTCTGTCGTTATGGCAGATTCTGTTTCGGATGCTACCAAGGTACCCTATAATATAATCTTTCACAGACACACCACACACATATACATCTCATACACTTAGCCACTCTCAAAATACATAGCTACTGTATTTTATTAAAAGTTTTAATTATCACAGGTAAATAGTACCTGTGGGATATCCCTACTCCAGAAAACACCATATTGCTACCTCTCACACAATTGTTTAATAATTTGAATTATTTTAAAATAAGAATAATTAAAACAAATTAATAAGGACGGTTTTAATAGAAACTGCAAATGCAAGGAGGAAAAGAATCTGAGCACAAGGCAAAAAACAATGACTAAAGAAAAGAACAATATTTCAGAAAGAAATATTTCATCACAGTTTTATAGAAATTGCATTCACAGATTCTCCTGGAAAAAAAAAGTCAAAGAAGAAATGCAGGATTTTGACATAATTTTAAATCCATGAAGAAGGTAAATAAAAAACATTGTGATCTTAGTAATTATAGAAAACTAATTTTAAAACACAAACATCTGATATTAAAAACTTACAGAAGCAAAGGAAAAAATGAACACATGGGACTACATCAAACTCAAAAGCTTCTGCACAGCAAAAGAAACAACCACCACAATGGAAAGGCAACCCACTGTATGGGAGAACATCATTGCCAATGATGTATCAGATAAGGGGTTAATTTCCAATATATAGAGAGTGCTCATACAACTCAACAAAAGGAAGACAAAGAACCCAATTAAAAAATGGACAGAGGAACTAAATAGACACCTCTCCAAACAGAACATACACATGGCCAAGAGACATATGAAGAAATGCTCAACATCACTAATCATCAGAGAGATGCAAAGTAAAACAACAATGAGGTATCACCTCACACCTGTCAGAATGGCCGCCATCAACAAATCATCAAACCACAAGTGTTGGCGAGGGTGTGGAGAAAAGGGGACTCTAATACACTGCTGGTGGGAATGCAGACTGGTGCAGCCGCTATGGAAAACAATATGGTGTTACTTCAAAAAATTAAAAATTGAACTTCCATTTGACCCAGTGATCCTGCTTCTAGGAATATACCCTAAGAAACCTGAAGCACCAATCAGGAAGCATATATACCCCCATGTTCATAGCAGCACTATTTACAATAGCTAAGATCTGGAAACAGCCCAAGTGTCCATCAGTAGACGAATGGATAAAAAAGCACTGGTACATATACACAATGGAGTACTATGCAGCTGTAAGAAAGAAAGATCTCTTATCCTTTGAAACGACATGGAGGGACCTGGAAAGTATTATCCTAAGTGAAATAAGCCAAGCAGAAAAAGACAAATACCACATGATCTCACTTACATACAGAATATAATGAACATAACAGTCTGAGGAATATGGTAGACCCAGAAACATGGAAGTAGGGCACAGACTGACATCCCTCAGAAGAAGGGGTGGTGGGGGGTGGGAAGAGATAAACCACAGAACTTATATGCATGTATGCATAATCAATGGACATGGACAAGAAAGCCAGGGACCGGGTGGGGGGGATGGGGAGGGGGGAGCCAATGGTGTAAAGAAGGAGAAACATCTGTAACAAAAATAAAAGTAAAAAATTAAAAAAAAATAAAAATAAATAAATAAATAAATAAATAAATAAATAAAATGAATTTATACTAAAAAAACAAAAAAAAAAAAAAAAGAAAGAAAGAAAAACTCACAATGGCAGAGTCTGCAATTGATGGAATTTTATATAGATGATCCTATTGACATTAAATTCAACAAATTTGAGTATCAGTCCATGGGACAATGCTCAATCCACTGAGCCACACCAGCCTGGCTGTGTTTTAGTATTTTTTTTTAATAAAAACATTTAGAAACTAAAAAATAAAAACTTAGAACATGCTTGATGAAACACAAAATCTTGACCAGAGAACAGATTTGGAAATATCAAAAGACATGAAAAAAAGAAAAAGAAAAAATTATATAAAAGTTATTCTACAGTACACTACTGAAATAAAATTAATGGTGAGATATGCATTATTAATATGTTTCAATGAAATACAATAAATGGAATGCAGATTTTGCAAAAGAATCTAACTATACTCCAAGTCAATGAATGGCATAACCTCATCTGAGGGGGTATGGAACAAGGTGCTAACCTAAGTAACTTTGGAATATGGTATTTTGCCTAGAAGGTGCAAAATTTTACATAAAAGGAGGTGTTTGTATACATTGAATAAACATATAACTGATAAATGGCAGATGATGGGAACCAAGGTTCTCACGGCTCTAGAGGAAGGCTATAATTAACCATGTGGTACTAGATTCAATTCTGAATGTCACTACAAAGTCATGCTTAGCTTCATATAGATGGATATCAATAAATGCAAAAGTAATTATAGATAATCTGCATATATAAGAGTTAGTGCACATACAATCAATTCTCAATTGTGATCCTAGAAGTCTTAGGAAATTCCTTTTTTTGTGACATCACAAAAAGCCCACATTCACCAGCAACAGGCGGGGACACAGAGAGCTTCCCACTGATTACCCCTGAGACCTCCAGACTGAAGACGGGGCCCAGAGCAGCTCTCGCTCCATGGAGCATGCCCCTGCCTGTCCCCACCACCTTCCCCAGGCGGTTTCCCTGCCTCTCTCTTTCTCTTGAGCTCCAAGGGCCTTCTTTTGCCCCTGTAACTTATTTCCTGATCCCATTTCTTCTACAGATCACTTCTGCCTCTGTGACTTTTATAAATAACTTTATTTTACAGTTTTAGTCTTGGCTCTAAATTCTTTCCTGGCCAGAACTCAAGTATTGAGGTTGCTGAACCAAATTCCTGTCTGACACCATTAGTCTAACATCTGGTACCATTTCACCACCAAAACCTACATATATAACAAAAAGCTACAGAAATCAAAATATCAACAGAATTTAATATTTAAAATGTTAGATATTTAAATTATTCATGTTAATAATAAATTTGGAAGAAATAAAATATAGAGAACTCTAAATGTATATAATTTTATCATCTTTAAAGTACTGTTAATAAATTTTAAATTGAAGTATATATTTTAGACTGGGTATGAATAAAACTGTTCATTATACCTTATTTCTAAAGCCCACCAAGGGCCATGCTTTAATCATCAGTAAATTAATATTAGGCAATGCAATGCTGTTTTTGTTGTAGTTCAAGTACAAACCGCCCCCCCATATCAAAAATATTTGTGCACATTAAATTACAAAGAGACACAGAGACAACTTGTTCTCACTGGGACAGACACCTTGAAGTGTGGACATCTGGCTAATCATTCTTGCAATCTGCCACTTCAGTTCCCTCTTCATAAGCTGATCTTTTGATCTCTGTTATCCCTTCAGAGACATGTCCTTATGAGTCTATCCATCAAATGACAAACTCTTGGCCTTACTAATATTTTCTGACAGGCAGTCATTATCTGACTCTCAGAGCCTACCTAGAATCCTGAGTCTATAACTCCTCAATATTTTCTTCTTGTCTCTGGAAGATTTATTATTTTAAACAATGTGTGTTTTAAATACATATCCTAACCTTAAGTACCTGATTATTTCCAGGCCAGGGGATATATGTACACACACACACACACACACACACACACACACACACACACACATTTCATTCTTTTAAGAAGGGCAGTAGACATTAAAATTTAGCTGTTGTTGGTAAATGTGTTATTGGTGGAAGTGGAGTTCTTGAGGTTCTGCTGGGAAAATAATTTTGTGAGGCTTCCATGGGAGAATGAGGATTCTTGGAATGTTTTGTCAATGATGTAAAATTAAGGGGGTTCCCCTCCAAAGTTCCATCTATGTCTTATGATGAAGTCCAATCTTGTCTTCAGCAGGGCCTGAATTAAAGCCCCTGCCCATAGTTTCTGTTTTATAATAAAATACAGTCCAGTACAGCATCTGGATAGCTTAGCTTGTGTTCCCAGCCGCAGTCCATTGCATGCGGGGTCTGCATGGCCATTGGCCATGTGGTTGCTCAGGGCCACATGCCTAGTGAGAGAGAACAGGTGAGCACAAGGGCAAGTGTGGGTCAAAGAGCAAGAGAGAGCAAGAGGGAGGGAATTCTCTGGGGGGATTTAACCAGGAGCTTGTTCAAACTAACCAATTAATTTTCCATGATTTTGCGCATTTCTGATGGGGTCTACCCTCTAGCCAATCCATTGTTTCCCAGGCTAGACGGACAGGTAAGCACCTCCCTTGTGCCACCCAGACTTCTATTGTGCATGTGTTTGTTTTCTGCTTCTCCCCCCAGAAATTCAGTACAAGATGGGGGAAAGGAGGGGTGTTAATCCCCTTGGAGGAACAATGCTGTGTGAACCTGTAGCTTCCTGGTGAAGCTTCCCAGGCGACCATGCTTACAATGTCTGACTTCCCTTTGCTTTCTTTTCTTTATTAATATTAACTAGCTAATTATGGCAATAAGAAATGCATATTTTTCCTGTAAGTTCCATGGTAATAATTAAAGTTAAATTCTAATAATTTCAAGGAAAAAATTGCACCAGACAGAGTAAAACAGCCAAGGAAGACTTCGTTCAAGACTATTGTGATAGGGTCAACACTATTGCAATCCAGAAAGAGACTTAACTCCACTGAAACCAAAGGAAGGCCAGAGGAGTTTTAACAGGAGGGTGAGCTAATGGAAAGGACATTAGAGAGGTTGGTCAGAATGATTAGGCTATCTGTTTTTGTTAATTGTTGCTTATCCAAGTGTAGCTTCTACTCTCCCACAGAGACTGAGAAATGGGGAGATTATCATTCTTGATGATTACATTTCAAAGGAATGGTTTCCAGGTCCTGGAGAAAAACATTTATGGGTTGTAAAAGTAGCAACAGGCCAAGAGAAGATATACATCTCAAAGGGGCACAGAACATTTGCAAGTACAGGTTTTCCAATGTAAAAATTCTCAAATCACAGGGAAGTCAGGGGCTTACAGCCAGGAGTGAGTGAACTGTGTACATTTCTTCAAACTCAGGAAAATACTAAGATCCTTTT